GCAGGCCAGGCAGCATCAGAGGAGCAGGAAAACTGACGTTTCGGGCCGGGACCCTTCTTTAGAAATTCAGCTTTCCTGCTCCTCTGATGCTGCCTGGCCTGCTGTGTTCCTCCAGCTCCACACTGTGTTATCTCTGACTCCAGCATCTGCAGCTCTTGCTATCTCTGCCCGTAAATATTGTTTTGTTTTGCCATTCTGGTGGTCTCTAGTACAAGGATTTCATGTATCCACAATTGTACTTGAACTAGAATCCTTCTAGAAATATTTTCAGAATGCCATTCTGATTGTGAGCATGTATTTACTATCGTTCTTTTGCTGAAATGTTAGCATCATCACAGTAGTACAGCATGTCTATTACAAACCAGAAATTTTTGAAGAGAAAGATCAGACTTTCCAACCAAGAGGCAACTAACTTGGGCAAAAGGATGAGCACTAACTGGTGTGAATTGTGTAGCAAAGTTGGTCAGACCCTGTGCCTTTTCCAGACTGGGGGTGAGGTAAATTACTTCACCAGACATGAAGTAAGGACCTTGTGTGAACAAGGTTTGGCCAGTTGATTCTGTATCCTGTCTGAGATCAGCAAGCAGCTGAACTTTGCATACTGCTTTAAAATTGACAGTCTTGTTCAGAGGGTCACTCTTGTTGGATATATTGTTTGGGTCTTGTTGCAGATGTTTGATTTAAGGCAGAAGGTTGTGAATCCAGAAAACACAGGCCGAGTACATAATAAATATAAAGCCTTCTCAAAGGAAGATAACATCGAAATTAGGAATGTTAAAGACATGAAATTAGCGCAGGTAGAGAATGGTATGCTGAAACTATAAATCATTAATTAGGCTGCAAATTGAGTATGTATGCTGATCTGATTACCTCATTTCAGAAGAGATGTAATTGCATAAGTGAGGGTACACCGAGATTGGTGAAGGTGTTGCCAGGAGTGGGAAAATGTAGCTAAAATTTAAGATTGGAAAGGTTGGGGATCCTCCTTGGAATAGAGGATGCTGACGGCATGATCTGATTGAGATGCATAAAATTGAGCTGCCCTGACTAGGGTAGAAAGGAAAAGCCAATTTGCCTTGAGTGCAGTGACCAGGCAGTGCAGATTTAAAGTGATTGGAAACATTAGAGGAGAGATGAGGAAAATGGTCTTCACCCAGCCATTATTAGGGTTCTGGAATTTACTGTCTGATAAAGGTAGTTGAAGCAAAAACCTTCAACTAATTTGAACAGTATTTGGATATACCTCACGTGCTCTAACTTGCAGGGCTATAGATAAGAATTAAAATAACTTTTTCACCCCAATCTTGAGATTTTTTTGGTTTGGCTTTGGGTTTCTCTTTTGGGTTTATCTTTTCATTAGCCCCAGTCTGTTCGTTAGATGAGGTGCAGTCATGTAGTAACTATCATGTAGTACAGCACAGTGGCTCAATTTAGCACTGCTGCCTCAAAGCACCAGGGACTTGGGTTTGATTCAATCCTTGGGTGACTGTCTCTGCAGAGTTTACATGTTCTCCCTGTGTCTACATGGGTTTCTGTTGGGTGCTCTGGTTTCCTCCCACAGTCTAAAATGTGCATGTTATATGGATTGGCCATGCTAAATTGCCCCTTAGTGTCCAGGGATGGGCAGGCTAGGTAGATTAGCTGTAGTAAATGTGGGTTACAGGGATAGGGTTAGGGGTGTAGGTCTGGGTGAGATTCTCTTTGGAGGGTCGTTGCAGACTCTGAGGCAAATGGTCTTTTTCCACACTGTAGGGATTCTCTGAAGCATTGTCTTCTGTATTTCTGTTGATATTTGGGCTGTTAGAAGCAGAATTAAAAGCATTCACCAAGTATTGTCGATCATGATTTTGAAAGACAAAACATGCAACAAAACTTCAATTTCCTGGATATGTGGTGGTTAAATTGGCACCAGACAGCATGTATAAGTTAGCAATAAATACAGCAACTGACGTGCATTTAAATTAATGTGCATTTAAAAAAAGTTGCAAACTATTTATGACCTGTGATGTCATGTTTTTTCCGGGTCACTGTTAGTAGATATTCCTTGTTGACAAGCTCCTCTTGCCAGCCTCTTTCCATCTTCCTTTTGTAGCCAGTTGATTCTGCACCCCTCTCCCACTGTGGAATTATCTCGGTCTGTCACACCCCCTTCTTTGCAACCTCTTGCTTCTCTGCTGTCTCCCTTCAGCTACTCAGTTCTCTCCAATTCCTCTCTTCCTCTGCAGCCATTCACTATATCCCCTCCCCTTTGTAGCCATCTACTGCTTGACATGCTGGCAAAATATTCGCTCGCCCATGGTCTTACCTGACAGACTTTCTGAAAACCCCACCCACCCCACCAGCAAGATTTTTCAGCCTGGCCTTTTTACTTCAGTACTGCCACTCACCTCACTGGTTCCCCACTGATGGGCTGCTTCCACTCCATAATTGATCAGCAGCAACTGCGGGAGGGAATAAGCAGAAAAGCAGCTCCTCTCAAAATTTCAGTTTCACAGTTTGACTTTTTTCTGGTTGGTGACCTTCATGATTTACCTTCCCCAGGTGATTTGGCCTTGTTCGTGGGTGACTTTGTCCATTACATATCTATGTACTTTGAGCACTGATAAGGGCCAAATAGCTAAAACATGGGTTTAGGGTGAGTGACTTTTTTTGCCAGATGGACCAAGTGGTCTTTTTCTATTGTAAAGCTCTGATAATTGTTAGACATTGAGAACGCTGAATGTCGAGGATTATTGGGTGGGGGTGGGGCAGAAAATAGGTTAGGTCCTGGATTAAAAGAATGCATTGTCATTGGCTAACTTAGTTGAGTAGGCCAACATTTGTTACCCATCCCCAGATGTCCTTGAGAAGGTGCTTGTGAGCCTCTTTCTTGAATCACTATTCTCTGTCTGGTGCAGGTAAACCCATATGCAAGGGAGTTCCAGAATATTGTCCCAGTGACACTGAAGGAATGGCAATATAGTTTCAAGGCAGGATGATGTAGTGCTTGGATAGGAACTTTTTGAGAACTAGTGCTCCAGCTGTCCTTGACCTTTAAATGATGGAGGTTGTAGGTTTGGAAGGATGATTGCTGAGTTGCTGCAGTAGCTCCTGTACATGTTGTATACTGCCAGTTTGTGTCAGTGGTAGGGGGAGTACATGTCAGAAGCTTGTGGATGGGACTGCTTTGTCATTGGTAATGTAAAACTACTTGAATGTTGATGGAGCAGGTGTTTTCAAATGCTGTTGCATCATGAGGTGGTGGCATAATGATAATGTAACTGGACTCGTAACCCAGAACCCCAGGTTGATGTTCTGAGGGCATGGATTCTAATCGCACTGTTGAAAATGGTGGAATAAAAAGCTAGCCTAATGGCAACCATGTCACCATTGTCATAAACACCCATCTCATTCACTAATGTCCTTCAGGGAAGGAAATCTGTTCTTACCAGATCTAGCTGACATGTGAGTCCAGACCTATAGCAATGTGGTTGACTCTTAACTGCCTTCTGGGCAATAAATGTCAGCCTCCCCAGCGATACTTATGTCTAATCAATAAATTTTAAGAACAGCATATACTGTTAGACCATGCAGATCACAATGTTTTTTGCATTCAATTGATGCTGGCAGCTTTTTATTAAGCTGTTCGTGTACCTTTTTAATAGCTTATTGTTTTGGATTCAAAGTGATTTGCCTCTTCCGGCAAAGTTAATAATCCTAGGATATTATTTTGTGACAAGTGAGGCCCACTTTTATTACGTGCATAGGTGTAGTTAGGTGTCTGTGTGCATCGGTTGCAATCACTCTTTTTCTTTTCTCTTCTTGGCTGCAGACACTATTAGCACACATTTTAGAGCTGGTAAGAATTAAAAACACTACATCTGGCAAGAGAGAATGAACAGCAGTGATGTTTTGAGTCCAGTATCTGCAGAATTTTACTTGAGGGCTGTTGAAATCTTCCTATCATTTGCTGTATTGATTGGTAGCATGAGTTTAAATTACGGTTCATTGGACATATTTGAATAATTGGGAGTCTGACCTTTTAATTGGCGTTTGCATATCCAAAAGTTGTCTGGTTTTGGAGTATCTGCTATACTGGTTGTTATTAGATTTGGAAGCGTACAGGTCCAACTTATTGCTAATATCTTTCCATTGTTTCCATATGGTTATTTTCTAATTGTTATTTACAATGGCTTTGATTAATGCTATACTTCTGTGTTATTTTTCTTCTTTCCCAGGTCTGGATGTGTGAAGGCTAGCACTTGTAAAATAAAACTTTAAAAAATCGCTGTAGTCACTATGGCAGCACCGGTGAATACTCAGAATCCTAGTAAAACCTGGGAGCTCAGTCTCTATGAACTGCACCGGACCCCACAGGTGAGTAAAACAGGGCAGCTCAGCCTCTACGAACTGCAAAGGACCCCGCAGGTACGTGTGAAGCAGAGGGGATATCCCTTTATGTCTATTTTGCATGTTTGCATGAGAGATATTCAAATTTATAAAGCAAAGGCCTCTGCATTGCTGTAAAATTCACATTTCTGAATGGTATCTGGGCACACAGCAATAATTTTCCAACAAAACTGAATGTTAAACATTGCTTCCCAGCTCAGTACTTTTCAAACTTATGCAGTTCTTTTTTTCTCTTTTTCTTTCAAGTTAAACTTTGCATATACTTTTATTATTCCTTCTTTCCTGGTCACCATCAAAGCTGTCTGCTTGGAAAAGCGAGGTGTTTGTAATCTTTGTTCTCTTGGGATATTAAAAACCCTGACCAGGGATTTTGCAAAAGTCTGCTGATCTGGTGCATCTGGCATCCAAACCTGCAATAGCTTAGTTTGATTGTATAAGGTCTACAGTTTGATTCCATTGGTCCACGTATGCCTCTTTAACATTATATTCGTGACTCCCACTTCTTTCCAGCAGGTTTATGTTATGATAAAACTCTCAAAAATTTTGTCAAGAGAAGGAAAAGCTTTTGTGTTAGGGAGTTAAAACACTATTCATTATGTAGGTCTTTACAGTTTAAAATGATTATTTTAAATAAAAGGCTGTGTTCCAATAAACCTGTTTAAATAGTTATAGCTGCATCATGGTTGTAGATAATGTATGATTCAAGGAGCAGTTTTATGGTTGCAGTCAGTAGTGTTTCTAATCCAGCTGAGAAATTATTCAAAATAGCTTCTTTTAACACATTTTTCATTATGAATATCTATAGTTGAAATATTTTGTGATTCTATACATCTAAGATTAAAGTTTATTTTAAAGATGACTTCACTGGAAAATTTAAAAATAAAATCACAAAGGTAAAAAATCTTTTTTTATATATATACGTTTCTTACTCCATTTTCAATTTTAATTAGAAATGTGCCATTTTTTCATTAAATTAATAATTGTCCACCATTTTTACGTTTGCCTCTTGATTATCCGTCGCAATTCATGCGAATAGGTGTATCAGGCCTGAACGTGGATGTTCTGCAGATGAGTTAAATTTAAAAAAAAAAGCAAGAAACTGTCAAAAGTTCAGATTTAGACTTTTTTCTATTAATGCACAATAAAAATGTGTGAGTTTACTTAGGCAAATTTTATATTCTACTTTACAATATGTTTGGTTTAGAATTCCAAATTTTCATCCTGTGGTGCTCCATAGTTTCTAAGTGATACTTTTTTTTTTGAAAGAAAGGAAAAGTCAGTTAAGTGAGAAAGGTTGCTGACCCCTGTGGTGTATTAAGTGGGTTGAACTTGCATTCTGCCATTTTCCCTGAGGTGCTGTGTGGTTCGGGTCCATCTTCTGTACTTTGACAGGTGTTCTTGTTAGTTTCGTGACTGGAAATATAAACAGAAAACATTGTAAATGCACTGAGGGTTAGTTGATGTGTATGGAGAAGAGGCAGGTGATAATATTTCAGACTGGTCTGGTCAGCTGTCCATTGATTAGCATTTGACCAGTGCTGCCCTTGCGTCAAACTTTTTTTTGAGAAACTGTAAGGTTGCACGATAGTTATCCCTGCTGTGCAATCAACTAAGAAGGCGACAGTTGTAACTTGAAAAATTAATACTGTGTGCTGCTGCTGATGGGTGTGCATTAAACTTGTGTATGTATATTTGTGGATTCTGCATCTGCAGCTAATTTGAACACTACACAATAATTATAATCTGAAAGTCTTGCCTCATCAAAGGAAACTTCCATTTGTGCAAAGGCCAACAAGATCTTGGTGATGAAGACAACTTCCTATATAATTGTACAGCACAGAGGGAGACCATTAGGCCCATTAAATCTGATCTGGTTCTTTGGATAGCTTTATTAATTGACGAAGTCTGTTTTCCCCCCCCTTCCCTCCCCAACCTCCATTTCGTTTTAAGTCTTTCCGGGTGTATGTCGATTTCCCTTGTGAGAGTTACCATTGAATCTGTTTTCACCACATTAACAGACAGTGCATTGCAGATCGTAATCACTGGCAGAATTTAAAAAAAAAAATTCCCACCACCTCCCTGTCTCTTCAGTTGATTCTGTTGTCATCCAGTTTATGAATTTTTGTCAGCACAAGCAGTTTCTCTTCATTAAATGTATCAAGGCCTTCATGATTTTGAACACCTCTTTGCCTTCCCTTATCCAGACCTCCTGCAAGGCTGGGCAAACACAACCTCTGCAGTTTTTCTATATAACTGAAGTCCCTTGACCCTGGAACTAGTCAGATAAATCTCTTTGCTATACCCTCTCTAAGGCCCTGACACTTTTGCCAAATTGTTCTGCCCTTGATTGGAAACAACTCCAGTTGAGGCCTAACAAGCCATTTCTGAACGTTTAGCAAAACTTCCTGGATTTTGTTTTCTGAGCTGCTATTTTTTGTTTTGTTTTGGCAGAGTTGTGCAATTGTAAACCTCCCCAAGAGAACCTTTATTCATCATTGAAAACTCGTTTCTGACTGCATAGCCTCTTTGTTAACCTTGTTTTTGATTTATGACCCTTAAAATTCATGGAGAGATCAAATTCCTGGCCAAAACTTACTCTAATATTTTAAATTGTTATTTGTAGGAGCAAGAGTTGCACACAAAGAAGGGTCAGTTCTTTTCCTGAATGGCGTGAATCCATTCTGGAGATTTAATGATTTTTTTTTTTTCCTCGGGCAGCTGTGGGGCATGACCTGGGAAAGGTGAGATGGAGGCAGTGAAGTCTTCCTGTGTTAATTCTAGATCCTCCAGATTAGAGCCATATATGTCTTAGAACGTTCATGGAAGTTCTGCTTGGCAGCAATCTGCATGGGCCAATTTTCCAGAGAAGTGTCATTAAGCAGAGTGTCCTAGCCTCATTACGGTGCCCTGGTTGAGAATGTAATTTACATTAAGGGAAATTCCAGAAGGGCTCTGGGTTAGAGGAGATAAAACTAAATAAGGATTAGAATTGGTATGATAGCGAGACAAAAGTAGCTTCAAGCTACGTGTGTAGACACCTTAGTATATTCTACGTTTAATTAGTGAATAAGAAGAAGGTTGTTCAGGGTGTAGGGTATGGCATTATCTCAATGACAATAACTCTGCTTTAATTGAAGGAGGGCCTGTCTCTTACTGCAAAATGGTTGGATATAAAGAATGTATATTTATGTTTTTGAAAGATTCTACTGCAATGTGAGCAAAATTCTCTTTTATAGAGTATGTTGCATCAGTTTTCAAAGATGAATGTTGGAAGAATGGCAATAGTTCAAAAGGATGAGTCCAGATAATGAAGTGCAATTGAAGGGAAAAAGTAATCTGTTAAGCTCAAAAGTGGAATAGACACTGGAGCCCAATGTCAGGTGACCAAAATACCATGACAATTTGGCAAGGCTTTCAAACATTTTTGAATTGCAGAAGCAGATTCAAAGGACTGGAAAGTTGCCAGAATTGCACTTGTTTGAGAAGAAAGACAAAAATTATTGGGGAACTATAGATCAGTCTGCCTAACATTATAACGAGGTAACTAGAGAGCATGGTGTGGATGAATCGATTTAGACTAAAAATGAATGAGCCAGTTGTGTCCAGTAAATGCAGTACCATTCTGACAGGGATTAACTGAGTGAGACAGAAAATATTGTGGCTGTTGTTTTGAGAAGGCATTTGATTGTGATAGCTAAGAAATTACTTAAAGACAGAAAAACTCTTTAACCAAGTGACAAGGGAAAGTGTGGAACAGAGAGACATTATTATTAGATCTTTTAAAAAAAAAAAAAAGGTACTGAAGAAGTTAACCTCATGGCCCAGCATGTCCCTTATCCTACCATAGAACAGGAGTAGACCATTCAGTCCACTGAGCTTTCTATGACTTCCAATATGATTACGACTGTTCATCCACTTCAGTGCTTTTATACACACTAGCCCCATATTTGGGGAGGCAAAGGCCTAGTGGTATTATTAACGCTGTACTATTAATCCAGAAACTTAACTAATTTCTGGGCACCTGGTTCAAATCCTGCCATGGCAGATTGTGAAATTCGATTTGGAAGAAAGGATATATCTGGAACTAAAAATCTAATGATGACCGTGAAAACATTGTTGATTGTCTGAAAAACCCACCTGGCTCACTGATGTCCTTCAGGGAGGGAAATCTGCTATCTTTCCCTGGCCTGGGCTGGCCCACGTGTGACTCTAGACTGACAGCAATATGGTTGACTCTGAACTGCCCTCTGAAATGGCCGAGCAAGCCGCTCAATTCAAGATCAGCTAGGGATGGGCAATAAATGCTGTCCAGCCAGCGAAAGCTGAAATTGCATGAGTGAGTTTTTAAAAAAAATCTTTTATTGATCATTGGTATTTATCGATCTATCAGTCATACTTTAAATCCACTCAGTGTTTCCACAACCTCTTGGGTAGAGAATTCCAAGCATTTTCACCCTCTAGTTTTGAAAAATAAGCTTCATCTCAGTCTTGAGCTGCTTCACCTTCAGTTTGAAATTGTGCTGCCTGGTTCTAGACTCCCCAATCCCTGATTACCTGTGTATACTGAGTATATTCCTTAAATATTTTGTAGGTTTCAATGAGATCAGCTGTCATGCTTTGAAGCTATAGAGAATATGCACAAGGTTTTCTTAATAGTGCTGTGTAGGATAGGCCAGCCATCCCAGGAACTGGCCTGGGAATTCTTCTTTGTATTCCCTCTGGCAGTAATATCCTTCCCAGGGTGATAGGATAAAAACAGAACATAGTACTCTGTTTGCGGTCTAATTGAAGTTCGAGGTGAACATTTCTACTCTTGACTGCTGGCAGTGAGGCTAACATACTATTAGTCATCCTAGTTTCCCACTGTAACTACATTAGAGGCATTTACTTTGGAGCATAAAGTCAGATGTACAGTATGGAAACAGACCCTTTGGTCCAACTCGTCCATGCCAACCAGTTATCCTAAATAAATCTAGTTTCGTTTGCCAGCATTTGGCCCATATCACTCTAAATCCTTC